CCCCCCCACCCCTAGCACCCATTGCCCTCAGCCTGGTGAATTCCACCCGCACCCCAGCACACATTGCTCTTTCTCCTACCTCCCACCCTAGCTCTCTTCCCTGCCCTCACCCCACCCCTAGAACCCATTGCCCGTCCTCCTGCCCCCACCTCATCCCTAAAATCAGTTGCCCTCTCCCTTGCCCCCACCCGAACCCTAGTTCCCATTGCCCTTCCCCTGCTGAAGAACTCCCCACCAGTACCCATTGCCTGTCCTTCCTCCTGCCTGTCACCCCACCCCTAGCACCCACTGCCCTCTCCCCTGTTCCTCATCCTTTTGTACATTTCCGACCACCCTAGTACTCATTGCCCTTTTCTTCCCCCCCCCGGTAAACACTGCCCCCACCCCTAGAAACTGTCCCTCCTGTGCTCTCAATGCTCTCCCTTCTGGCCCCAGGCAGCGCAGAAGAGAATGAAGAAATAGCCACACTGGATGAAGACAGATATGAAATGATAGAAGGATCTGGGGGATGGTGGGGAAGCAGATTGTAGGAGCTAGAGACTGGGGGAGAATGGGGACAAGAATTGACATGGGTAGGCAGGAGCAGATTTGGTTTGCAATATATAAGTGAAGAGGGGGAGGGGGATGGGAGCAGAGGCAGAGAGAGGTAGGAGGCTAGATAGGAGGAGAGGGGAAGGGGACCGGAACGGATGTGGGGATTGGAAATGAGCAGAGGGGGAGAAGGACAGGAGCCAGGCTAGAAGGAAGGAGTGCAGCACCTGGGGTGATGTGGGGCAGATAAGAACAGAGGAGGACAGAGACAGGTTTAGGGATGGGGCAGAAGGATCTATAAATGGGCATACTCCCCTACAGAACCTAGTACTAAACCCAGGAGTCCTCAGTTTCTAGATTGCTGCTAACAAAAAGATGTGAAACTCAATGGTAAAGTGTGTCCCAGGCCCCATCTAGTGACTTGCTCACATAGAGGATAACAGTATATTGCTACTATACTTAGCTCAAGTGGCAGAGGTCTGTGATACTATGGATGTAACGGTCTGAACCCTGCTGTGACCCAAGTAGGGGGCCATTATGGTTCTATATGATGGAATTTCTGTTTTTTTTTCATTTAGTTGATAAAAACTACATTAAAATAACATCAAGGTTGAAAATTTAAGTACTCAAAAGTAGGAAGTGCTAAAATTAAGGTTGGCTGGTAAAACTTGATTCAGCCCTCTTGTGTATGCACTATATGAAACAGTCTTTAATAACATGAACCTATAGTTATATGATGACATGCTATTTTTTTCCCACATAACCCTTGCCTCGTTCACTGCACAGGATGGACTATGCCGTGGGAATGAATCATGGCTGGGTAGTGATTATGTCTGCAGAGCCCCTACCTCATTTGTTGCAGGAGGTGGATAGTGAATATGGCATAATTGCTGGAAGAGAAAGGATGGTCTCATGGTTAAGGAAATTGAATGCTATCCTGGAGAACTGAACTCCATCCCTTCCATTGGCACAGAGTTCCTACCTGATGGTAGGCAAGTTACTTAAACCAACATTTCATAGTTGGTTACTATGTGTTCCTCATTTTCTGGATGCCATTTTTATGATACACTTGGAACCAGGTTTGTAGAAATGCCTAGTGCTCACAACTGTAACAGAGGTCGATTAGAGCTCTGCTTTGAAGATATAAAGTGCTATTAAAATGCTAACTAACTATTCTGAAAAATCAAACCTTAGGTGTCTCAAGTTGGGCACCCCAAATTAGTGGATACTTTTGAAAATGTTGGCTTTAATCTTCCTGTGCCTCAATTCCTCAATTGTAAAATGGAAATAATAATACCACCTAATCTCAAATGGGGTATTGTGAAGATAAATTCATTAATTTGTGAAGCACTTGGATACTATGGGGGGAGCACCATAGAATGACATGAGGAAAATAATAATTCTGTATTACATGCCAGGGTGTGGATGGTGTGCATTAAATAAGGCCTGAAGTCACACATTGAACTAAGAGGATAAAACAAGTGTTGAATAGCTACTCATCCACTGAAGAAGGAGCAGTTCCTGTGGAAAAAATAGTATGTGGTCATTGAAATTAATAACTGCATCATCATGCATATGCACCAAGAGCTGAATTAAGGTTGCACAGGAATCTTGGTTTCTCCTAACCTTTGGGCACTTGACTTTGCAACTATATTGTTCTTTTAATGTAGGTTTAGGGTTTGTTTGTTTGTTTTGGAGGGGGGGTTGTTTTGGATGTAATATATTTACACTGGAAAAGGGGTTTTCTAATTACCAGTGGAGAGATTTCATAAAGATGTTTGCTGAGGATGCAATGCAGATATACAATATTATATTCCAAAATCAATTTAGCGCTGCTGATAAAACACCTGGGCATTCCTATTCTTACAGAGAAAGCTAGGTGAAGAGAGCAAGAAGTTCCAATTCTTGAATACTCTGTTATATCTGCTTAAAGAAAAATCCACTAGAGGGAGCCATTAGAGAATTTATATGCATGTATTTTATTTTTTTAAATATAACTTATTTATATTACCATAGCACCTCCAAGCCCTACACATGAATCAGGACTCCATTGTGCTAGGTGCTGTATAAACACAGAACAAAAAATATTTATAGAACAATTACTAGTTAATAATATTTATATTTGTGCCACAGTGAGGAAGTGTTTGGAATAATAACTGTAACTAAATAACACGTAAACCCTTTCATTGTATGGCTACCAGTACCTTGTTTGACCTGAGAAAAACATTCCACAGTTTATCAGTCATTGTGGCTTCTGATAAATACTAGATAAAATACAGTATGGAATTTGTTCATATGGCTGAATGTTTCTATTACATTTTATAGCTTTTATAGTGTCAAGCAAATATACAGATAAAGGCTATATTCATAACACCCCATGAATGGCTGCAAGACTTTCTTTTATATTAAAGGAAAGGGGAAGAGGGCTGATAAAGACACACTGAGTTTTGATCATTTGACTTTTAAAAATAAATTATTTTGATAAAACATTATCTACAACTTTATTTTGTCTTTCTGCAGAACTATCCAGGAGCACTGGGGTTGCCCATCAGGTACTAAAAGAGATGGTGACTTTCAATAAATGGTGGCAGATAAGTAAATCCTCTTTATCGGGAAGAAGTCAGTGGATCTGACTGGCAGTTGGGCCCAGAGGGAAGAGTCTTTGTTCTTAGGAAAGGCAGCTATAGGACATACATATAAAGAGGACCTCTGAGGTGTGGCTTAGGCTGTTGTCCACATGTGGAGCAGCTTGCTAGTGAGAACTGCTACACTGGTGTAGGAGGACAATGTGGAGCCCCCTCCCTGTGGAATTGAAACCTGGAAGGTAGGACCAACAAGGATACCTTATTGCCTAATAGATTAAAGGACCAGAGGGTGCACCCCAGACAGTAGTCCTGAGGGACCCTATCCTCTTGGGGGCTGCCCTCAACTAGCCAAATGAGGAACTATTCTGTTATTAATTGTATCTTTTAAAACTGCTGATATATTTACATTTTTTTCCGTGAGTAAATAGTCTTTGTCTGAGCTGGGTGTCTGAGTGCTTATTGGAATCCACCAGGTGCTACAACCTATAGGGACTTCAGTACTTAACTTCTCAAGTGTACACATGACATGTTATCAACTCTTTTTAAAAGGTATGATGTACACAGCACTCCAGTAGTCCCGCTATCTGGGGAGAGTGAACTCTTATTGACATTCTCCAGTTGGAGCCTAATAATAGGTCTGGAAAGATTCTTTTTAATTTGGAAGAGGGGTACTGGTCTCTGAGGTACTGCAATCGCTCTGTTAAATTCAGCACAGTTACAGAAGAATGTTATGCGTTACTTACATGATCCATTGTCTACAGCCAAGCTCTAAGATACAACCGCATTTGCTTCAACCCCTCAGACAGAGAGAAACACCTACAAGATCTCTATCAAGCATTCTTACAACTACAATACCCACCTGCTGAAGTGAAGAAACAGATTGACAGAGCCAGAAGAGTACCCAGAAGTCACCTACTACAGGACAGGCCCAACAAATAAAGTAACAGAACGCCACTAGCTGTCATCTTCAGCCCCCAACTAAAACCTCTCCAGCGCATCATCAAGGATCTACAACCTATCCTGAAGGACGATCCCTCACTCTCACAGATCTTGGGAGATAGGCCAGTCCTCGCTTACAGACAGCCCCCCAACCTGAAGCAAATATTCACCAGCAACCACACACCACACAACAAAAACACTAACCCAGAAACCTATCCTTGCAACAAAGCCTGTTGCCAACTCTGTCCACATATCTATTCAGGGGACACTGTCATAGGACCTAATCACAGCAGCCACACTATCAGAGGCTCTTTCACCTGCACATCTACCAATGTGATATATGCCATCATGTGCCAGCAATGCCCCT